AGGAGAATCTGAAGTGGTATGACGCGCAGGTTAAGAAACCCTGGTGGACCCCACCGAACTACGTGTTTGGACCGGTCTGGGCTAGCCTGTATGCTAGCATGGGGTAAGCCACGTTTGTTTGTTTGTTTGTTTGTTGTTTTGCACGATTGGTAAGTTGCTTCATGGTGTACAATGTATATAAGAGGCAACTTCAGTATTTTCACACCATACTGAGTCAGCTAGACCAGACTCTGAAACTTTGACTCCCCTGTACTAATGGTAGAGCTCAGCCTCTATATATTGTCATCTTTTATTTGAGCAGTTATGTTTTGCAATTGTAAGCAATTATGTGTAATTTTTTTTCGTGTACTGAGCTCCTCATCCTGAAAATTGTTAAATTACATTCTATAACCAAAAAAACACCTGTGGTCTCAGGGGTGCTTATAGTATAAGATTTTATCTGTTAATGCCCACGATCATGATAATGATCATTCTGGCATACTCATTTTTACCTGAGGAAAGCCGTAATCGTATATAGTACCTTTCCCAAGAGCACAAGCTAGGTTTGTGACTTGGCAGGATTCGAACCTGGGACCTCTTGGTTCTGAGCCGAATGCTCTGCTGTTAATGCCTCACAACCCCACAGGTGCTGCCGACCTTTAACCTCACAATCAGCTGATGTGTTTACCTGGAATAACTAAACTCTCAAGGACATGATAAACCCAGACTGTACCAAGTTAGAAAGAGGGGTGTATTTGCTCTGTTGATTCTTACCTTTTAGAAGCTCTTTAAGAATTTTAATTATAGACTACCGGTATCATTATTTATGTTTCTGGATAGACATTTAGGAAATTTTCATTTGCTTAACTTTGTAAGGAACTTACTGAGAGAAGATCTTCACAAAAGTGCAATCTTAAGTTTTCCTGGGTCCTTTATGGATGGACCCTGTAGGGTCATGTAAGGGCGCGACCTTGATCAGGAAGGTCACATGACGCTTACACAACCACCTGTTGTTGGTCACTTCTCCAAGCTGTTTGGGTCACATCTGTGCTTCAACACAACTCCTCAAGGCTAGTCTGGTCCTTATAGTAGGGTTCTCAAAGGTATGTCTACTAGTACTGTACTTGACTTAGCCAGTATCATGGTTGGGGCATGGTAGTTGGGGCAGGCTGTCTTCAGGGCTCTAATATAGTTTTCCCCGCCCAGTTTAACAGGCCCCCCAGTAGGAGTGTTACGCTAAAAGAGATGGCAAGCCAAGGGAGTTGATTTGCCCCACCACAAATGTTTGTGCTGTACTTGCCTTTGTTATCTCTTTCTCCTTCTGGTAATCCTACTTAAGTCAGTCAACAGGTGGTTTGTCTTTAAGTCACTCAGTGAATAAGAATCAAAGATGACTCCTGAAGAGGCCAGTAGTTATACAGGAGCAGGCTCTCCTCGCTTTTGACTGGTTGGCCTTGCTTGGGTACTTTCTGAGTTTCTGTAGTGCTAGCATCTCTTCTTGATAACCTTTGCACTACTGTTACACAACTGTTGTGTAAGATCCCAGAGTACACCCCTCAGGTCAGGAGTGGGACAGTCCAATGACCCTGAGGTCAAACTGCCCCATAGAGGCATATATACTGTGTAAAACACAGTGAGTAGCAGTATCAGTTAAGGCAGGGTCAGTCCATTTGTACTTTTTCTTCTACCTATTCTTCACCACCTGGTTACCTTAAGGACAGGTAAGAAGTAGGTGAGCTGTAGTAGCTTGTACTAGAACTGTGAAACTCTGAATTAGGCCCAAACTTGTTGGCTGACCTACTTAATGCTTTTCAGCACTCAGGCAGCATGCTGGTTATGTAAACAGACCATACTTTAGGAAAAAGGCATCCATTTTGTGATACAGGAGTTTAGTTTGTACTGTCCTGATTATATAGTACACTTTCCAGTTCCAACTACATATAGTTTGGCTTTGGTTCTAGCAGTAATTAACTTTTTATTAGAGAGCGCGGCCTTGCCAGTGCTAACCCACTGGACAGGGCTGCCTGGAGGTGCAGTGTGAAGACCAGTACTACTAGCCGACTGCTGCCGACCCCTGTGGCAGGGACAACAGCAGCAGTATAATCTAATCCTGGAATAGTGAGTGTGAGTG